CCTTTTCCCCCCCCCCCGCCGAAACTAAATATTTCGGATTTCCCCCTCCAAACGTCTCGACGATCGTCGCAGGCGATCTTAATGCCAAACACGTTGCCGACACACTAACATAAAAGGCATTTCCATTCTTGCCAATATTCTTGACCCAATCTTGCCGTTGCCCCGAGATCCTACGTACCTCCCCGCCCCTTACAAGCAACTTCCTTTCTTTCATTCTTGACATCTTCATCTTACAGAATGACACTGTTTCTGAAAAACTTTATGATCATCATAAGGTCGTCAGTCCTAACACTGGTTGGACACGCACCTCCACTTTTTCCTATCCTGAGCTAATCATCGGGTTTTCCTAAAGCTAGAGCAACCCACATCTTTAACTATTTCCGAACAGTAATTTAATCTACCTCTCTCCGTCCTAACATCCGTTTCTGCCTCTAATATGTCTGAATAGACCTTCATGCCTGAGAAGGTGTCCTACTAACCTATCACGTCACCTTTATAAGTTTTATTTCCATTATTTTTGCAGATTTCATAGTCACCGATCATCGCCGCCCCCCTACGAGACTCTGTGTAAGTTGTCTTGCCACACATTCCGATAAGTGTTGCTGAAAAGCTTGACCAACGTTCAATTTTTATGCATACTTTTTGTAGAAAGTATTCGGTAGAGTACCTTTATAAGTATTATTTTCATTATTTTTACAGATTTCACAGTCACCGATCATCACTGCCCCCATACGAGCCTCTTGTTAAGTTGCCTTGCCACAGATTCCGGTAAGTGTTGCTGAAAAGCTTGACTAATGTTCAATTTTTATTTATACTATTTATAGAAAGTATTAGGTACGGTACCTTTATAAGTATAATTTTCATTATTTTTGCTGATTTCACAGTCACTGATTCACCTCTAAGCACCATGTGTGAGGGCACAGGTACGGCACTCCTTCCGCTTCTTCCCAGGTTCACTCCGAATCAGGACCGTCATCTATTACCGCTGACGGGTTCACCGAAGTCGGTAAGCGTCGCAACAAACGCCGAAGACGAAGACGAACGTAAACTGGCACTGAGTCGGAAACGGAGCAACCGAGGCAAGTCTCTTAAGCTCCTCCACCAATTGTTATCCTCCAAAAGTCCCTTTGGCCGAAAATTCGTAGAGTCATGGACAACTACGGTATCACCGGCCGTCGGGCCATTAACACCCAAGACTCGATTAGAATCTAACCCAACTCCGTGGACGATTTTCGTCGCCTATCGTCGTACCTCTGCGAGACCTTCATGTCGTCCTCCATGGAGTCTGCGATGTCATCTCCACGGACGATATACAGTCTGAACTTGTTAATGATGGTTTCGCTATCCAGGATGTTTACCGAATGTCAAAAGGTGAAAAAATCTGGCCACTAGCATCCGTCCGTTTCGACAAGTCCTCTTCTAAGTCCAAGTCAATCATTGAACTTAGCAAGCTCTGCGGTCTCAACGTCAAAATTTAGCCGAAAAGTACCAAAGAAGTTGCCCAATGTCGTCGTTATATGAAATACGGCCAATTACTGCCACGCTGCCTGGGTCTGCGCCTTCTGCGGCGCAACCACGTCACCGCCGGATGCAAGACAAATGCCAGGACAGACCCAACCCCCTCCTGTGTTAATTGCAAAGGGAACCACCGCTTCACCTATCATTGTTGTCCCAAGGTACCTAAGAAAACCATACCATCCAAAAAACCCTCCCCTACTCCGGTAGAAAATCATACTTTTCATCCCAAACTTCTCTTCCTACAGAAGGGATAATGAAAACACCCGAGGCGGTGGCGTAGCCGAACTCTTTAAAACACAGGCCCATCTCTTTGGCCACTAATTCATTAGAAGTAGTTGGCATTGAATTCTCGCTAACTTCCGGCCCCCTCGGAATTATTTTCCTTTACCCCCCCCCCCCCCCNGCTTATGATAAAATCTTTAAATCTTTCTGCTGAATAAGCTAAACTCAAAGCTTCTTTCTCTATCTGACTATATTTTTGCTCTCCCACCGTAAGCTTTTTTGACATATAAGCAACTACTTTTCTTTCGCCCGTACCTTCTTCCTGAATCAAAGCTCCCCCGATCTCATAACTTGACGCGTCTGCTTAAATAATGTTTGTTTTATTATAATCGAAGTGAGTTAATACCGGCGCGTGCTGTAATACAGTTTTTATCTTATCGAACGCTTCCTGCTGTTTATCAAACCAGACAAATTGTACATTATCAGGTAACAATGAATTTAACGGTTCTATAATTTCAGATTTATTTGGAATAAACTTAGCTGCATAATTTACCATTCCTAAAAATTGCATAACATTTAATTTATTTTGTGGGACTGGAAATTCTTTGATGGCTTTAACTCTTTCAGGAAGAATACTGATACCTTCTTTTGAGACTCGGTGTCCCAAAAACGTTATTTCTTCTACCCCAATACGACATTTATCCCTATTAATAGTAACACCAGCTTCTTTTAATTTTTTCAAAACTTGATCCAAGATTCTGTCATGTTCCTCCACGGTTTCTGCGAAAACCACTATATCTTCCGCGTGCGTCTCCACCCCTGTAATTCCTGCAAGGATTTCAGAAAATTCTTTAGAAAAATGTTCTGGTGCAATATTTATACCGAAAGGTAGTCTTTTATACATAAACCGTCCAAAGGGAAGTATAAATCTCGTTAAATGTTTACTATTTTCATCTAACTCGACTTGGTGAAAACCCGCCGTTGCATCAAGTTTTGAAAAAATTTTCCCTTTTCTTAACCTTGCTAAAGACACGTCAACTTTTTTCATTGGAAAAACTGTTCTCTTAACGTTTTTATTTAACATTGTATAATCGCAACAAACCTTATACCTGACCCTTTTGGAACACAAACAATGGGACTACACCAATCTGTTGGAACATTTACTTCTTCTATTACATCTAGTTCTACCAATCTGTCCAGTTCGGTTTTCAAATTATTTTGCATTTATTTTTCATTTTACCTAAACCATTAAATAATTCCGGATATTTCTGGAAAGGATTTATGCTTGATTTTCGGCTGCTAGCACTATTCACATGATTAATTCTTTTAAGTAATTTAAATCTTTTGATTTCGTTTCTGCCTAACAAAGGTATTTTTAAATCTTTGAACATAAGCTTTGAAATTACAAAGTCTTTTATGTAAAACTTTGAGATTAACATAACCTACAACCGCAAGTCTATTTTCATTCGGGCCGAACACAGACAGATTTGTTTTGTTTATTTTACAATCTTTCGGTACCATTTTACACGGAATACATGATATATCGGCCCCAGGGTTCAATAAAAATGTCACTCACCTCAAATTCTGACTGTTTCGCTTCGTCGCCCGGAGTATAACCTATAAATCTGACGTCTGCGCTGTCCNTCAGCTTCTGAGGCGGTTTCACTTTTCGACCCGAAGATGTACTTTTCTCTTTGTTCACAAAACCCTCTTCAGAATCTGTTTCCTCAGAATTGTCCCCACTTGATTCTGTGTCCTTACTCGTCTCTGTATCACGTTCACTAGTTTCACTTTCAATATCTAAATAAACTTTTACATCCTCATTCTTCTCTTCCTCCCTTTCCTGAGACAAAAATGAAGACTTTTCATTTCCTAAATTCAACTTTACCGTTCCACTGGGTTTTATGAATCTTCTATTCCGAATTAAAATGTTACCGTTCTTCATTTTTATCCCGTACGTTCTATCTCTAACTTTTTCTACTATGACCCCTGGCAACCATTGACCTTTAGGTTTTGTTTGTACGTATACTTGTGTGTTTACTTTTAAATAATTTAAGTCTTTTGCGGTTTTATTGTAATAGTTTTTACACTTGTCGCGGTTTTGTCTTAAACATTCATTATAACTTTGATAATTTACATTTATAGGTCTTAGGTTCTCAGTGGACGTAGGTACAATAGTTCTTAAACTACGTGACATAAGAATTTCTGCTGGACTATATTTATTATTAATTATCTTCATGTTACGATATAGTAGTAAGGCTAACATAAAATCCTTGTTATCTGAAAGTGTCTTTTTGAGTATATTTTTAGCAGTTTGTACATTTCTTTTCGACATACCATTAGATTGAGCATTTGTGGGTGAAGTAACAACGTAAATTGAGGTAAACAGACGGGGGCTGTTACTAATGTTAATGGTATACCGTGTCTAGAGAATATACTTTTTAATTTCAAAATCACATTATAACTAGTTGTGTCGTTTTCTAGTTTTTCAATTTCAATATACTTTGAATAATAATCGATTAGAAGCAAGTATTTTTTCCCTTTATATTCCATCAGGTCACAGCCTAACTTGTTCCAGGGTAGTTCTGGAACGTGGTGATTAGTTAAAGATTCTGGTTGTTGTGACCTTGAGTATCGAACCTAAAATTGCAACCTAAAATTTTATTTTTAACGTCTTTAGTCAAAGTGAGCCAGAATAACGATTCCTTTGCTAGAGACAAACATTTTTGAAAACTCATGTGATTGTAATGAATTTTTTCGAGCATTTCTGGTTGTAAACTTTTCGGGACAACTATTGCTCGCCCTTTAAAGATAATATCGTCTACTACGGTTAATTCACTTCTATACTGAATATATTTTTTAACATGTTTTTTAAATTTTTATTATCGTTTGGCCACCCTTCCAAAATTACTTGTTTCAATTTCTGTAATTCTGGATCATTTTTTGTGTGGACGCGTAATTCTTGCCACCTTTTTTGGGTAATGTTAATTTCTGATATTATCATGCATACATGTTCGGAAATATCATTACTTAATTGCAAATTGATTTTTTCGGGAATTACTAACTCCTAGCCAGGTTTGTATTTTAAGACAATATCGTATTTCTGTAATTGTAACATTATACGCTGTAGCCTAGCAGAGCATTTATTAAGCGGTTTTTTGAAAATGCTAATTAAAGGTAAATGATCAGTTTAAACGGTTATTAGTTTACTAAACACAAACTGATGGAATTTTTCCATTCCTACCACGACAGCTAAAAGTTCCTTTTCAATTTGTGCATAGCCGCACTGTGTTTCTATAAACGCTCTAGAAGCATATGCACAAGGCAAGTTATTTTGCAATAGTACTGCACCGCATCCAGTCTTTGAAGCAACAACTGAAGCTGTTGTTTCTAAATTTACGTCATAAAATTGTAGGATAGGTCGATTTGTTAATTCGTGGTTAATTTGTTCAAAAGCTGTCTCATGTTCTGGGCCCCATACAAAATCGTTTTGTTTTTTCAGTAGGTCACGAAGTACTACTGTTTTATTCGAAAAGTTTTTTATGAATATTCCTACATACGTTAGTACACCAAGCAATCGTTGAACGTCTTTTTTACTCCTAGGACGAGGCATTTCTTTTATGGCTCTTATTTTCTCTTCTTCGGGTTTAATGCCAAACTGAAAACCTTCAAAAGTCTCTCATCATATTCTTCTTTGGTACGCCCCCAAATAAAAATGTCGTCGATGTATATGTCGACCCCATCGACATCAAAAATCGACTTGAAATGCGACTGAAAGGCGTCCGGAGCTGATTTAATTCCATAAGGGAGTCTTAGAAATTTATACCGACCGAAGGGTGTACCGAATGTACATAAGTTGGAACTCTCCTCATCTAGCGGTATCTGGTAAAACCCCTGTGTAGCATCCAAAGTACTAAACACTTTTGCCCCCTTTAATTTATAAGTAATTTGATCTAATGTGGGAATTTTATAATATTCCCTTTTAATAATCTTATTTAAGTCTTGCGGATCCAAACATAT